TGCTGGTTTTTGAAAAAAAAAATAGAAATATAGTATTTGACCAGTCTCTTTATTTTGTTGAAAAAATAATTTTATAAATTGATAATAATGCTTTATGTATTGTTCCTGCATCGAGAAATTCACTCCATTAATAAATTTTTTTGGAACATTCACATTTGATGAGTAAGATATTTCTTGTGAATCAGGTACGCAACGCTGGGATGTTGTACAAGAAAAACAAATTTTCGGATGCAAAGCACCTGAAACCAAGCAAGGGGTAAATGCGAATGACAAGCTTTGAGGCCCGAGACAATATAATAACCATATTGATCAACACAATCATATTCAACACATAACACTTACAGGCCTTGCTGGGCTCACATATTGCTCTTTGCAGGGTTCCCAATCTGAAAATTTTGACCTTTTAATGGGCTACATCATTAATGAATTGGAATTCTACCTTATTTTATGAAAAGAAAATTGGTAAATTATTTAGAATATTTTGATATAATTTATATCAAAATATATTAAAAAATTATTAAATTTATTTTAAAATTAATACAATATAAAATTTTATATGCAACACTAATTTTAATTTATATGAGATAATTATTTTTACATTTTATTATATAACTGAAAGTTTAATTTACATGATTAATTCAGCAAATGCATTGAACCGGGTTAAAGGCTTTTGAGCTTTTGATTGAAAATGGATTAAAAAATAGTAAGAAAAGGTCATGCAAAATTCATTCATCAAAGGTAATAGATATAAAAATTTTGAGAAATAGGATAAAGTTAATTCAATATAAAGAGAAAAAAAAATAAGGATAATGCACACAAATACATAAACATTTATATAAATTCATTCTTTAACGATTAAGTTCTATTGTTGGTCTTCTATATTTTATTTTGGTTTGATTATGAAAAAGTTACAATCTTAATTTTATCATTTACATATCGATATCCCTCTTCTTTATAACAAAATTTGGACAACAAAAATATAGTACAACTCATAAAATATCCTTAATGAAAGTCACTTGCGTTTAAATCTATATAGTCCATTTTCTTCATGGAGCAAAAAAGAAAATTAGGCTTCAAAAGTTAATCCCCAAATAGGATATATTAAGTGCCACTTTATTAAGGTGTACTTTTTATTTTTTTTGAAGAAATGCAAGTTGCATTAAAAGGAAGACACAACTATTACAAACTAGAAAGCAAAAACAAGCTCTTTAAAACTATCATAATGGATATGCAATCCATTAAATTCCATTTTAAATCCATTGGGGTGATAGGGACACCAAATGTTAAAACAACCTAAAAGGTTGGTTAGTATCCCAGAGTTCCCAAAAGATAAAGAATGAAATCTAGTAAAAATCTCACATTTCATTACAATAATTCCAAAAGCGAAAAAAAAACCTACATGAAAGCCCAAAAAATGACAAACTACTACAAGAAAAATAAAAATAACAACTAAAATAGCCCCCAAAACATCAAAAGGATCACCATCAACATCCTTTGAGGCCAATGAGCTCCAATCAGGAGTTGAATCCGCTGAAACTTCAATGCATCCAACAACAACCACCATGAACGAACAAAATAAGGTCGACGAAGCAATACTGCCAATTCCCACATCAAGAGGCCAAGAATCAACCTCAACACTACCAAAGCCATACGAACTAAAAATCATCACCACACACATCTCACTGGCAAGTGAAAAACTAGTAATATTCAAATCCTTCAAGTCTTCAACAAATAAGACTTGTTCTTCAAAGAACCAAGAAGTAACCATCTTAAGCCTAGGTGAGATAAGCTCCCACCTAAAACTAGCTCCAATACGTCTATGATGATCCAAACAACCTTCCATATACGAACCAAACAACATTAGAAAAATTGGTTTAAAAATTACGGCTTCACTAGAGCAGTTTTCCGAACTATCTCCCTTGGAAGATCCAATCAAAGCCTTCAAAATAGCTGCATAACTAGTATTAGTAGCATTATCTCCAAGAATCTTCAGGAAAGATGAAACCGGTTCTTCAGAATAGGAAAAACCACCTCTATAATCTAAACAATCATACCCCAACAATCTCTTGAACATCAAGAGATCACACACCAAGAAAATTATCAAACCAAATCTGACAATACTTGGAGGAAAAAGATCTTCACTCCATTCTTTAATTTTAAAGCTTCCAAACCAACAAAATGCTGAAGCAAAATCAAACCAAATACACAAAGTGGTAACGAAATCGACCAAGATCACATTAGCCTTTTTTTCAAGATTCTTGAAGAATCCATAAGTCTCCAAACTTGTTCAGATAAGACAACCAACAATAAAATTCCTGCCCCATTCCTCAATGGAAGAGTTCCATTTCTTAATTGAATACAGAGGATCAACATATTCATCATAGATAAATCTTTAAAACAAAACAACACACATCTATAAGAAAAAAAAAACCACACGAAATTTTCTTGAACAACAAACGATTCCACATCAAGAACCTCTCAGTTTCAAATGTCAAACCAAAAAAAATTCCATCTCCAAGCATCGTCTCAAGACTTTCAAAAAATTCAAACAAACTCAAGCAGCAAATACCACAAATAATCTCAATTATTTGTCCAGCAGAACATCCAAAGCACAAGCAAACTTCGGCCAAACATTTCATCATTAGAATCAAAGGCAAAATCGCCCCCCAAACAGAAAATTCATTCCACGAAAAACAAAAGCTAACGTAGAACGAACGAAAAAAACTTCTCCAAAATCACCGTCAGGCAAAGCTCAGCCAAATTCGACTTCAAATCGATCGCTTCTATGCCAATATCCCACCAAGGACCTCCGTTGGCCATACCAGGACGACGGAGAACCACCGATCGCCAAGGTTCCGCCAAAATCGCCAAGATATTTATTAAGGTGTGCTTTAGGCTGAAGAGATTGGGCTTAATTTGATTGATTGATGATAATAGAATTAGATGATTTTAAAATTTTATCCTGACTTTGCAGAGGAACAATTATCATATATATGAGGGACTATGGCTTTCATTTCTTTTTTTTTTAATGTCCCCTTTTTAAGGAAAGTAATATAAAAAAATTTAGGAATGTAACACAAAAAAATGCTCCAAAAACTTTCAAAATCATATACATATGGATTGAAAGCTATCCGATAATTAGGGGTGTAAAATGTAATTGATCCTACTTCAGAGATGGTCCTAGTTTGGATTTGGCTCAACAAATATCTTGTGAGTCAAATTTGAAGAGTTAATAAGTAAAAACTTGAGTTAACCTCAAATTAACCGATCAATAAAAGATTTAATTTAAATATATTATGATTGATCAAAGTTTACTAAATATTACATCTTTCTTTTTTAGCTCTATTAATTTCTTACTATTTCTCTTTTTAATTTTAATATTCTTACTGATACGTTGCTACAAAATCTATTTGAATAAGAACAAATTTGGATGCATAGTTGAATTGAAAACTTTCGAGTTCGAATTTAAAATCATCTTACTTTCAAATTCAACAAGCTTATAATCAAACTCAACGTCATGAATTAAAAATAAATCAAGTACTTAAATCATAATTAAAAACTTTAGGATATTAATTAAATGATTTAATAATAACTAAATCTTGCATCCTTCTAGTTAAATCTATTGGCTCGAAAAGATGAATCTAATAAGCAAAAAATCATCTAATTCTGACATCATTGCGCTATATAATAAATGCTAAAAAAAATGGTTTAGACTCCAGAGAATCAATATGAGTTCTTTGATGCAGTGTTTCTAATTTTGACTATATTTAAAAAGCATGACACTTTTAAAAATATATAAACATACTCCCACACTTTACATGAAGAGGCGCTTGGACCTTAATTTGAGATTCAAGAAGCTTAAAGGCTTGAAGAGTATTTTAAAAAAACTAATTGGGGCGGTGAAGTGAAACTATAATTAGGCCAAAATTTAGGTTATATATATATATATATATATATGAGGTGTGCATTGAAATATATATATATGAGGTGTGCATTGAAATTTATGACTAATTTTGCTCATTATCAAAAAGAAAAAAAAAAAGAAGCTATAAGAACATTTGGAGTAATGAAGATGAGGACCTTGACTCTTTATAGTTACATTAGTAATTACAATTTTATAAAATTTTTTAAAATATCTGAAATAAAATAAATATATTCAAGCATAAAATTAAATATATTTATTTTTCAAATCATATAATTTTTATTTGTATAATCAATTAAGCTCTTGTCACAAAATACATTATAATTCTAATATATTTTCTCATGACTTAAAAACTTAATTTCAAGTTATTGTACAAGTTAGTAGGAGCTAAGCTAAGGTACACTTGGACAATAACAATTTGTATGAAAACAACTTAGGCATCATAAATTTAATATTATTCTTTAATTAGGTACAGTATATTACATTACTGAAATACTAAATATGAATGATTAAATAAATATTATAATAATATTACCTGTGAGCGAGCTCATATAAATAATCTCTATATTTTCAATAATTTATATTTATTACATAATCTGATTATTTTAATTCAAACATTTCAAATTTAAGTATTTTTATAATATTCACAAAATTAATGACCGTGGGGTGAAACGCTCGGATAATTCCAAATCCAATTCAAAACCCCAACGGCTCGCTGCTATCCCTCGCCACTCTATCTTCTTCTTCTTCTTCTCTCCCTCTCTTAGAGAGGGACACAAACACGCATACATCAATCTTTTTCTCTCTTTTTCCTGCTCGCAAATTGATGGCTTGGACAATTTCTTAGTAAGTTTCAGTTTCCAGATTATACTTTCACTGATTCACCATATCATACACAGACAAGCTATGCTGATTCAATTTGAACTTTCTCTCGGATTGTTTTACTTTCATTTGTTCATAAGAAGTATTTCTTGATTTTTCTATTTGTTCTTTGGCTCTGTTGAGTTCTTTACGGTTTGTTTTTTGTTTTTTTGTTTTTGTTTTGGACTTTCGGTTTTATCTATTGCTTCAATTACAGCGCCGAGGAACCATCTAAGATTTTTAAGCGGTGATAATCTGCTGATCTGATCGAGCCGTCAGTTTTTGGACCGATTATCGAATTTCAGCTTGTGATTTGGTACAAGAATGAACTATACCTTATTTTTTAACCTAACGGCAATGAGTTCATAGCTATGTCAAATCCTCTCTATTGTGTAAAGTTCTTCTGATGATTATATTTGGATTTTTATGCAGATTTCTGAATTTCACAGGAAGCAGAAGCTCTTTCTCATAAATGAGGGCATATATAAAAGTAATTATTGCAAAGCTTTTATTAGGTTTAAAGAGATGTCAACATTTAGAACACCTAGTACTCCAGTCTCCAAGCTTGAAAAAACACCGGCTTCTACTCCCGGGGGCACCAAGGTTAAGAAGGATAAAATTTTAGTTACTATACGTATGAGGCCACTAAGCAAGAAAGAACAATGGCTTAAAGATCAAGCTGCTTGGGAATGTGCTGATGAACATACTATAGTTTTGAATACACCCTCTCAAGAGAAGTCAAGCTCATCAGCTTATACTTTTGGTAATATGAATGATGTTTTTTGTTTTTATTATTATTTTTTTTGAAAATAATGGAGCTTTTGGTATCCTATTTTAGGCAGGATTTAAGTAGTATTTAGCTTAAAATCTGCCAAATAGAATTTTGGGTACTTCAAATTATATTTTTTTCTTAGCCTCTTATTGGTTACACCATGATTTGTTAAATCTTGTTCTTCATAGGATTTAGTGGATTTAAGAATTTCTCCCTATCACATATCTTAAATCCTGAAATAAATTGGGGCTGTTTGGTTTAAGGCAGGATTTGATAAATCTTGAAAAATCAGATTTAGTACATCATTGAGGCATTAAATCCTGAAAAATTATTTGGCATGGTTAAATTACAATATATTATTTGATACGTATTTTTAATATTTTGGATTTAAATGAATGAGGAGAAGAGGCACAGTGAAAGGAGCAACATGATTTAGCCTAGTTACTAGCTAAATCTTGCAACTAAACAGCCCTTATATATTCTAAGATTTATTGTTATTATCAATAAAGAACTAGAAGACGGGGATTTCCAGATAAATTCCCATCTGCTAACATTCTTTTAGATAAAGTATTTGGCCCCATATGTCCAGCTGATAGATTGCCAGCTAAATTCCCATTTGCTTACATTTTTTTAGATAAAGTATTTGGCCCCATATGTCCAACTGAGAGAGTATATGAAGAAGGAGCAAAGGAAGTTGCCCTATCAGCAGTAAGAGGAATAAATGGTACACATTAACTGAAAGTCTCTTAATTTACTTTATATCTACTCGCATAGAGATATAGTAAATGTATCCACCGTTAGATAAATTAGCATTTTCCGGAACCCTTCTAAGTTTTGGTCATTAGATACATTATGACAGTAAGTTATGTGGATTCGGTCATGTATTTCTCTATAGCTACAATATTTGCTTATGGGCAAACCAGCAGTGGGAAGACATATACTATGAGAGGAATAATGGAGAGTGCTGTAACTGACATCTACAAGCACATACAAAGCGTAAGCTTCATTGTCAATTTGAGCCTGCTGTTTCATGCTTTTATGTCTTACCTTAGCCCGAGTTTTTAATATTGTGTATTATTCAGAATCCAGAAAGAAAATTTTTTATCAAGATTTCTGCATTGGAGATATATAATGAGGTTGTGAGAGATCTGTTGAAGACAGATTCTGGTCCTCTAAGGCTTTTAGATGATCCTGAGGTAGACATCAAGAATCAACATTGTATATGTCAACAAAGCATTTTTGCACATCTTCCTATAATATTTCATTTAAATTTGTATTTTGTTACTTCTTTTTTGACCGATGTAAATTCAGAAAGGAACCATTGTTGAGAAACTAGAGGAAGAAACTGCAAAAGATAGTGAGCATTTGCGGCATCTGATAGGCATTTGTGAAGGTAGTTTTAAATTTGAGATGTTTTCCTTGATACTTACCTTTATGCATCTTGTTTCATAACATTTTCACTTTTCTCTACTTTTGTAGTAGTAATTATCATGCTTTATATTTATTTTACAGCGCAGAGACAAGTTGGAGAGACTGCCTTGAATGATGCTAGTTCAAGATCTCACCAAATAATTAGACTGGTTAAGTGTTCTTTTTTATTTTTTATTTTATTTGTTTGTGGTGCATACTAACTGTTTCATTTTTTGTTTGGGTTCAGACAATTGAGAGCAGCCTCCATGAGTATTCAGGTTGTGTTAAGTCTTATGTTGCCAATTTGGTGAGCCTGTCATTATACTCTATTTTTAACTAGACCATCTCTGTAGTTTTGTTTATATCATAATTGTTATAGTTTGCTGCAGAACTTTGTGGACCTTGCGGGAAGTGAGAGAGCTTCACAAACAAATGCTGAGGGTACTAGGCTAAAAGAAGGCTGCCATATAAATCTTAGCCTGCTAACGCTCACAACTGTTATTAGAAAGTTGAGGTCGGGTCATTTACATGTTCTCATACTTTTAAACTTAGAACTCATTTGGTTGCTTATATTTAGAAGAAATGCTTCACACAATGGTGGTTGTTTTCACTCATATTGAGTTTATTTGTATTGACTTATTAACTTACTGAGTTGGAAACGAGCTATTCATGAAAGTAAATCCTACCTGAAATTAATATACAATATTATTATACATGTTGCCACTTGTATTATGTATATCCATATAAGTATAAATGCATATATATATATATATGTGTGTGTGTGTGTGTGTGTACATATATATGTAAGCATCATTAAGTTACTGACCAGCCGAATGTAGTTGAATAAGACTTTATTCTTGTTTAGCTTATTAAATATGTGGGCTTATAAATAGTTGAACTTAAGCTAACTATGGAGTCAAGCACGAACAATGAGTTTTTCTTAATAGCCATGTATATGTTGAGGATAAATGTATAATTCTTGTCCTTCAAGTTTTCTTGGTAGGTTACTTTTGACTCTTAAAAGATTGTAGACATGTTTTTTGGAAAGCATAAAAAATATTTTTTAGATGCTTCAACAAGAAAATTTATTTTGCACGCATTTCTTGAATTTTTTCTTGAAACGTATTCATTGGCAATTTATGTTGATTCCAAATTTGTGTACTTTTAGCTTTGTTTTCATGTTTTTGGTTAGCTTTTGTACTATGAGAAAGTGATTGTTTTGTTGAGGACATACTCTTTAGGAAATAACATGTGTAGGTAACCATTTGGCTTGTCAACTTAGTTGTGGATGTTTTTCAACTAAAATTTAGTGCTTAAGGAAAGTAATAGCTTTATTTATCAAATTCCACATTAACTTCTATTTGCACATACAATTCTGAAACAAATTCATTGTGGGCTTCAAAAATTTGGCCCCGGTCTCCTCATTGCTTTTTGTGGAAGTTTTAATGGAATAAGTTTCGGGGTAAATTTTGGGAAGGCATATGAGTTTGTAGATGAGACACTACCCAGAGATTTCTCCCTCATTTTGCGAGGACTTTATTATCTAAGTTCTAGTTTCCAATAGGCGCAAGCCCCTATAGTTAATTACCCCTCCCAGTACCGAAAGAGAACTTTCAGTTAAGGCTAGTCGTCAATCTGATAGGTAAAGATATGTACATTTGGCATATATTAGCAGCATGGGCTTAGGTATTGGAGAATAAGATTAGAAATTTCACCACCTTGCACTTAAAGAGGATGGTGGGGAAATGGATGATGGACCTGATCAAGATCCCATGGTTCTGTCATCCTGGGTCATCGTGGTCTCTGGTCTACTTAATTAGAGGAGGTAGTCGACCCAACCTGACATAAGGATCCTTGTCGGCAGCCATGAGTTGCGTCGTCCAAGGGAACCTTATAGACCTGGGCTAGATGTTTGTCTAACGGGATAAGTTTGAATCCATCATAGCTAATAGGGGGTTTGTGCCTTATCAATTATATCCTATTGATTCATATATCAAGGATTTGATGTTATTGGGGAGCATATGAGCTCTGGTCATAAACGTAATTTGGTGGTGCCATTTGGCGGTGACCACCCGATTCAAAGGTCATAACCATTTACCTATAACGCCAATTGACAAAAAAATTGCTGGTTAGAGGACATGTGCCATGTTCCCGTTGGCAGGAGACTATTAGACAATGAATCCAAATGATATTCTCGACGAGACATTATCTCTTTGTGAGCTGAAGTAATTTTCAATTTCTCTAAACTGTTGCGGAGCATGAATGTATTTTGTTTAAAGCGTTTTTTATGATTTATTTTGATTTTAAATATTTTAGGTTTTGTTAGTTCTTGTGAGTTTTGAGTTTTGAGCTTTGGGAACTTTTAGAATTTTGAATTTTTATGGGTGCCTAGAAGATATTTTGAATATTTGGAATTAATCCTTCCGGTTGAGATAAACATCAAAACGGATATCATCAGGGTGACTTTGAGGTCATTTTATTTATGGGTTGAACCTCATCGACTTTGCCCACTTGTCGACAGAAGATCAGGTTCTTCGTTGGGTGTATGTTTTCATAGATGAATTTTCGTTGTTGTTGTTCTTAAAGTCTTAATATGAATGTATAAAATAGATATTCTGGTGACACCTTGACCATATATCTATTTGATTGTTCAAGCCGAGTCCACTCCTATATATCCACATAGAAGGATTGGGCTTAAACTTGAGTTCATTTATTGACCTGCGCAGCATCCCTAGATATCACGTGTATACCCATAATGCGCTCGTTGGGGCCAATGCTGGTATGTTATACATCCCCTTCTGTATACCTATGTGCATACACATTATAGTGCATGTACTAAGATATTTTGAATGGTTGTGACCCCCTTGATTTGCGTGCTTTTTGCCTTATTTTATTCATCAATTTTGTCGAATAATTGAAATTGGACAAATTGATAGTGCACTTTAGGTATTGTCGATGTTCTGGTCATAACAACTCTCTCTTTTGTGATCGAACATCATTTGGGCAATGTCATGATCTAATTTCCTCAAAATGCATGTTGTTTTGGATCACCTCGATTTACGTGTGCAACATCAATTGAATAAATTAATAGTCAATTTAGAATATTTGCAGTATTTTAGATGCAACGGTGAAGTCCATTCATCAATCGAACATCATTTGGGTACTATCGAGTATCATTTTCCTCAAAATTTATGTTATTACGTTGGGATCCATGCAACCACCTCAGATGACCAAAATTGAGTGCAAATAATCAAAACTGGACAACTTGATGGTGCACTTTAGGTAGTGTCGATGTTTTAGTCACAACGATGTAGTCCATTTTGTGATCAAACGTCGTTTGGGCAACGTCGAGATCTAATTTTTTCAAAATATGTATTTTTTCTTTGGTACCAACTTGATTTGCGTGTGTAAGCTCAATTGAATTAATTGACAGCCAATTTAGAATATTAACGGCATTCTAGATGCAACGGCGAAGTCCGTTAATTAATCGGATGTCATTTGGGTACCGTCGAGTGTAATTTTCCTCGAAATTCATGTTATTATCTTAAGATCCATGCCACCACCTTAGATGACCACAATTGAGCATATAAAACATAGGTCTTGGGTATTTAGGATGTTTTGAATGGAATGGCGAAGTCGATTTTTGGAACAAACTATGTTTGGGCAGCGTCGAGGTCAATTTCATCGATATACACTTTATTACCTTGGGATTCATACCATATCTTTGGATGATCCTAATTGAACAAGTAAAATATATATTTTGAATGTCGCGACACTCCGGACGTAGCAGCGAAGTTCGTTTTTTGATCGGACGTCGTTTGGGCGATGGCGAGTGCCAATTCTGGGTGGTTGTTTTCCGTTTGGACCGAACTCATCTGATATGACCGTGAGGGGTCTCAACTTGGATGAATTCAATGTTCTGATTGCAACGAAGCAATCCATTTGAATCAGAGGTCATTTGATCCTTCAAGTGATGCGCCGCACCAACGCACGTGTTGCTCAAATCATCAGTTTTTCTCCTTTGCGCAAGGTTTGTTGTGTAGGTGTCAACATTCATTTGATCTTTATTGTCTCTATTTGCATTGATTTACGCTTTGAAAACAAAGAATTTTACAAGTACTAATAAATTTAAAGGACATTTCTTTTACGATAGAGTACATTATTGAAAACTACATATGTTAATTTGTGTTCAATTCTTTCTGCCTTTTTTATCAGGCTTGATAAAGCAACTGGTGTATCATAGATGGTGCATGTTATCAAGTATAAACTCATAATTTGATTCAGTGATCATCCTATGGTTCCTTCATGAAAGATTTTTGCTTGCCTTATTTGGGAGACACCATGTAAAAAAATCATTTATGCTCTCATCATGTAGTTGTAATGTTAAATTTGCTTTTATATTTTCAACATAAACTTGTTTATTTAGTTTTTACTGTCCAACTTGCTAAGTTATGGTGTTTAAATTTTTCCCTATTTAGAAAACACGCGGCAATTTAGTTATTGGTTGACCTTAAATGAAAAGTTCATTATGGGGATTAGAAAGGGGTGTAAAGCCTCGAGAAGGTATCCAATATTTGTAGGTTATTTCATTAATGACATTTCTAATATCTTATTGTATTTTTGGTTGTCGTAGAATTTTTATTTTATTAAAATGAAGGGGTACTATCTTTATGATGTATAATAAGAATTAAGAATATGATTAGAAAGGGGTGTAAAGCCTCGAGAAGGTATCCCATATTTGTAGGTTATTTCATTAATGACATTTCTAATATCTTATTGTATTTTTGGTTGTCATAGAATTTTTATTTTATTAAAATGAAGGGGTACTATCTTTATGATGTATAATAAGAATTAAGAATATGATGGCGACTTTAGCAGGAAATCTTGGCGCGTCTATCGCAGGAGCCGTAGATTGACGGTTATGATTAGGAGCCTTAATTTATGATTTATTTCATGTATTTCATTTTCTTATTTCATGTTATGTTGAGAGTCTTTCCTATTTTACCCTTATGTTGGGTTATTTGTGTGTTATAGCCCAAGGGGTTTGAGTTGTGGGTCTTTTATGTCTTCATGTTTGAGGCCTATATTGAGGTCCTAGGCTATTATATGGGGATGATGATTATTATGAATGAAACTTCAACTTTTCTGAGTTATGTGTGTTTGTTTGAGTCTTCTTGAGAGAAGAGTGAAGTCCCTAGGAGTAGGGCAAAGCAACACCCAACAACCGTCGCCATGGAAAGGTTCTTGCTTTATCATATCTCTCTTTCACCCCATCCTCCTTCCAAATAGCCCACTAAGCACTCCAACTCTTCCAAACAGCCAACTGAATATTCCAGTCCTTCCCAAGCAGCCACTGATCCTTCCCACTTTTCAAACAGCATGCCGACCGCTTTCCTTCCCCTCCACACAGTCAATCGAGCCTCCCTTCCTCTTTCGAATAGTCGGCCAAACTCCTTGTTTCTTTCCCTTGGTCAGCCATCCTTTCCCCTTACCTCTTGGTATTTCCTCCGCCTT